TTTTCACGTGATTGATGTAGAATACGAGAACGGAAGAATGGATTAATAAGAGACATGGGAACATATGTTTTTCAATAGTATAAAAATAATAGAAAAAAGAATTTGAAAAATCAGAAATTTTCTAAGAAATTTTATACATTTGTATTCTAAAAATTTATAGATAAAAAAGAAACCAAAACTTTCAGATTACAGATTTTGTTTTGTGATTTTTGCGATATATAACTGATATTTTTATTCCAACATAATAATCCATTAAAATCGAGAATGTGCTCTCACATCCAAAAACCTTGAAAAAAAATATGTACTTCCAATCTCATCCGTAACATATCAGATTTTCAAAATATTTACTTTCAAAATGACAATTTTCTCAATGCATCTTCCAACTTCTTGATTTCCGGTGCAAAGAACACAGGGTAGTGGATGTACCGTGCATAAAAAAATAGTCGACTTTTTTCTTCTAACCGGCTGCACACACACCCGACGCCCCAATCCAACTAAAAGCCCTAGATAGCACTTACAAATGCATTCTTTCTGGTTTTTTTTCTAACCTTTCCCAGTCAACCTGGGAGGGATGACAAATAGGCACAAATAGAGTGCGAATAGAAAGACGCGGAATTTAATGCTGCATATGTCAAGAATGTTTTGTGTCGCTTAGTACATCTATCTTCCGAGGAACAGATCCATGAAACTCCTGTGCAAAGTTACGTACCGAGGAACAATGCGTCACAAGTGAAATTGGTATATTGCATGTTTCCCGTGTAATATAGTTGCCATATGACGCAAATTGCACGTTGTCCATAATATTGACGATGATGTCATGTCCTACGATCCTGTATCGGAGTGATCAGGATGCTTTCCAACAACTTGTATGGATGGCAAATTGTATACTCTAATCTTTCATTAAAAAAATATTGAAAGTAAATAGCAACTTACCTTCTAGTTCGACGATCTTGCCGGCTCTCTTCAGCGCCTTCACTGCCTCGTCGTGCGTGGCTTCGCGTAAGTCTTCGCCATTTACCGCCAAAATGGCATCGCCAACGTAAAGTTGCTCAGTAGCGTCCGCAGCCATGCCCTTAAAAATCTTCGAGATGAGAATCGGCATTTTGTTCTCCTTGCCACCCTTAATCGAAATTCCTAAACCATTGTTGTCACTTTTGACTACACGGACAATGCGCTTCTGATTGGCTACCGAATCGGGCACATCCGGATCGTTCAAACTATCCACATTGTTGTTGTTGATGTTGCCGTTGTTTAGGGCATTGTTACCGGTCTCACAACTCTCATCGAGCGAAATGCTGAGATAATCATCTTCCAGAGAGACGAATATGCGATACCACTGACCGCGCACTTGAGTCTCGAGGATCCCGGCACGTCCCGACGCTGAAGATGAAGCGCCTGTAGTCGTGGTAGTCGACGAAGAGGATGACGATGTCGCCGCGGTCACCATCGAGCCGATACCCATTACTCCCATGGCCGAGGAAGCTTGGCCGCTACCACACAACTCCACCATTTCGATTTCTTCGCAAGCTGTACGCTGTAACACGTCAATGATCGCGTATATATAATTTTTTCCTTTTTTTCAATATTTATATATGCTTTAAAAACTTAATGATTATATTATTATCAAGCTCTGAGATATGCATTATGGTCGCATATATAGAATTTGGAGTTTTTTGACAATTACAAATTGACATTATATTGACTTCAACGATCGCGTTTGATTAGATAAACGAAAGAAAACTTCACAGAGAGAAATTCTATTCAATTTTAATTGTATGAATGTTCCGTACAAGAGATTCAATATTTATATATTTTCATTCTCTTTATATTTTGATGCTACCCGCTAAAAAAACTATATTTCTTATTGCAATTTTTATTTTAACTTATAATATTATTATACTGAAGATGATCAATTGTAAAGTCGAAACGACATTTTGTCGACTGTACATTTTGATATTTTATTTTTAATTATTATAAATATTTAGCATTAAGATCCGGTTTATGCTCTTTGACTCATTTATTTATGCATGATTAGATAGATCGAGGATTCAAAAATATTTAAGAAAATTCCATGCTAAATAAACATGTAAGAATTTTTTCTAATAAGTTATATGATGAAAATTAAAATAAAATTAGAAATAACTGTGAACAAATATATTATTTATGGCACATTTTCTCATGGACAAGAGAGTGAGTTAGAAAGTCTTAATTTGTTTGTCTCTTATGCTTTGTTCAATTTTCAATATAAAGCTCGAAAAAAATGACAATATATAAAATGGATAGTGCCAAATAGATGGTGCTACTCGACGTGAATAAATCAATTGTACTATATGCCGGCGAAATTCGTAATTTGAAAATAATTGATAGCGGTCGACAGTGACGTGGCCGAGCTCTCTTTGTTTTCCTCCCACACCATTATTTCCATCAATCCAGTATCGCGTCGCAACAATAGCGTTACTACTGCCCGCGTAAAATGGTATATAGG